TTGGTCGAATACTCCGCCATCTCATCCCCCGAGGAGGAAGAAATTGGAGAAGAGAGCCGGCCTTACCAATTGAAGTATGACAAGGAATGGCTCGCTATCACTCGAGCTTTCGCTGATGAACTCATACTCGGTGACCCTAACGCCTCCGTCCCACCAAACAAGGGAGATGCCGGTTACAAGCCCGATATCCTCGCTGCGGCGCAATGGGTAGAAGAAAATATCGTCAAACCAGGCAGGATGACCATCCCGCACAACTTCTCCATCACCGCCCCCGTCTACGACCCTGCCATTTCCATAATGACAACCGAGATGCCGCCAGAGTGCACGAACCCACAAACAGCACGGTTTTGCGAACTTGTCGGGATTGAGAATAAGTTTCATGCTAGTGATGAGGAGCGGTTTGCGCGTGCTGATGCAGGGCCGCGTCCGGAGCCTCCTCAGTCAAGGTATGGACAGCGTTCTCGGGGCCATCAGGATGGCTCTGTTCATTCTTTTGGGAGGGGGAGGGGGAGGGGGAGAGGGGGGGGGAGGGGGAGAGGGGGGGGGAGGGAGGGTGGGCGTTGGCAAGGTGGTCGTGGAGGGCGGGGAGGTGGAGGCAGGGGAGGGCGTGGAGGGCGAGGTGGCCGTGGGGGATATTATGGTCCCCCGATATAAAAATACAGAACTGGGACTGCGTGCTCCGCTTTTGAGGTTTCAAGGACATTTTTTTTCTTTCATTTTACCTCATTTTTCTCTTTATTTTTTCTTTTCATATTGACTTGTTCTGTAATCTGCTTTGAGAATGGGTCACAGGGCAGGCGAAATGGGCTGTGAGATGTTTTTTTCACTCTGCATGTATGACTAGACACGACACTTAACAGAAAACAAATTTATTTGCTGGGTATAATCAACGATTTCATCACTGGTTTAGGGGGATCTAGCTTCCCTGATAGAGCCTGATAGATACCCCATGATCGGAGGCATCGATCCCAATCACCTACCCTAACGAAAAACCTCCACTCGATGAATCGTTCATTATTGTGCTCAAGGAAGGCAGCTTAAGCCGAATCAGAAGTATGATGGGTAAAGCCCTCATCTTATGCTCAGGAAAGATAGTACTTTGGCATTCACAGCGGGTCTGTCTGTATATATGCTAACAAGAAAAGACCACTTCATTACATACATGGAATAATACATATGGCATTCGCAAATACTAAAACGCAATGCCCGCGTGCACCCTCCCCTACGAGCAGACGGCCTATTCAATTTCCTCGATCCTTGGCCCTTGCACCGACGGCTGACCTGCACTCTCATCACCACCCAGATGCGGATGAATTTCCAATCCAGCCAAACGATCCCCCAACTCGAACCTAGGTTGCTCATCCATGCCCTCACGAGTTCTTACTCCCCACAACAACGACTTTTCAAGCCATGCCTCTAAGCTCTCGATAAGCACTCGTATGTGCCCACGGACGATAGGGTCGGTTTCGTTACTTTCCACGAATGTTAAGATGCGGAGACAATCGGGTATGTTGCCGATGGCTCCCTCGTTCGGATACCTTTGTTGATCGTTGTTGAAGCCCACAGACGGGTTACTATTGCTATTGCTATTACTATTATTATTATAATAGGAGAATCCGAAACCGAGGTTAATCCCGCTTTCCCTGGCTGCGTCGAGCACCTTGACGAGATCAAGAAGTAGAATGACGGCGGCTCGTCGCAGGATGACACTCTCGCGACCCCGCTCAAGGTTCAGAGTTGATAGTGCTAGATCAACAGACGAGGATGCAATGGACGGCCCAAGACCTGCGAGGTTTGTCTGGATGGCTGATGCGAGGATAGACATAGCGGATGCCCGAATGCGTAGATCATCCGGCTCTAGGTCAGACGCAGCTCCGGCAGCCCATGCATCGATTATATTAGCGGAGTAAGCTGTGAGAGCTGGATTTTCTGCCTCTGGATCCATTGCTTCGTCAATCTGCTGCATTAAGTCTGCAGCTTCACGGTCTAGTGCATCGTCTTCCGTCTCCGCCGGTTGCGTTTTTGATTTCTTCTCCGCCATTTCCTCTCTGGCCCGTTTTGCGGAAGGCTTCCTGCCGCGCCTCCCCGCTACTGCGATCATGGTTTCGCCGAGTGTTCTGGCCGTGTTCTCGACCAATGCATTTCCTAGCTCCTGGACCGTCCGCAACAATGCCTCCCCGATTCTCAATCGTTGATCGAGGCTATGTTGTTCGCTTCTATCTGCATAACGCTCTGCAAGGGTCTTAATTACTGTACGTGGGTGCTTGGACGCAAGAACTCCAATAATCTTAACAACATTCAGGTAAATAAATTCATCGTTTGATGACGATTCGGCATCTGAATTGGTGATTAAAGAAAGGAGAAGTGAGAGGGTGGCAGGTATATCAAGGACTGGTGACGATTGGGTGATCAGACGTGAGAGAAGAGTAAGCCCTTCTGCCTGTATTGGAGGTAACTGGGATGAGATATGTTCGAGAGCTTTGCGATGTGTTTCCAGGTCCGATATCCGTGAAGAAACTGCCTCGGACTTCCGTTCAGCAGGCAATGAAGAGGAGAGAGTGATTTCAGCAAGCATTGACGCGGTGGTTGCAGGTTGTACAAGGGGAGGCGGCAAGAGGGGTAGTAGCGTGTCCAACTGGAATTTTATTCTTTGAATAATTGAAGACAGTGTTTCTGACAAGGAAAAACCGGGAGAAGTGAGGATGGTAGAAAGAAGACTGAATGCAGCCGATAGAGACTCGGATTGCTCTGGATTATCGCTTTCAGTAACCTCCTGGTTCTCAACGATGTTACTTAAAAACCGAAATGATGAATTCTTCGATTTCCCGCGGGCTTTGTTTGTCCTCAAAACGACCTCGCTTTGTATCAACTGCTCGATGATTCCCAATATCTTGTCAGGGTGCTGTGATAAACCATCTTTGAACTTGTTGAGCAATTTCTCCGTGAATTTCGCACTGGCCAGCTTCTGCAGAGTGATATGCATATCCTCACCAGCTTGCAAAAGTTCTGGCTTGTTCTTGTCGTGTTGTTCTGAAGACCCAAGTAGCCATTTCTGGCTAACGTGGAGAAAAACATCACCAGCAAGCTCCTCGGATTGGGGGTCCATGGCCAGCAGTTCTAAGACGCTATCAATGCGGTCATCCAAAATCTTCACGAGAAGCATTGCATTGGGTGTTTCCTGAGCTAGAGATTCTGTGCGTTTTCTAATCGAAATGCCGCCTTTTTGGCCGGGGCCAAATGTCCAGGTACTTCCTCCGTCCCACAGTATATTATCGGACAGTTTCTCGTATCTTGATATCCCAGCTGACACACTGAAAAAGGTCTGCAGGAGCCTAGAGACTTTGCCATACCATAATGATTTTCTATGCTCTCTGGCGTAGCACCCCAATGCCCATAGCGGAAGTAAGACAGGTTGAACGAGCCGTTTTAAAAGGCCGGGATTTGGGTGTAATAAAACTAGAGCGCTCAGCCTTGTAATGGATAGGAGCAACTTTGGTTCATCTATGAGGACTACGCCCTCCAAGTTATCTAGTGGGCTTCCTGTTAATGCAGAGCCATCTGACGAAAACCTTCTCAGCCACGCAGCAACCTCGTTTGTCATATTGCCATGGAGTGAGTCGAGGATAGGTTTCACGAATATCCTATAACCAATCGCACCTGGCTCTCCAAGAGCCCGTTTTCCGAGTATTCCACTACCAATCACGTACGATGCCGTTTTCTGAAAATCCGGTTCATCCCCATCTAAAAGCGCCAGCAATTTTGGAGCAGTATTACAGAAATAGTCGTCCGCCGAAATTCCTTGAGGAAGTGAGGAAAGTAAACGAGATGTTTGCATGATAGCTTGCACGGTGATTGGAGGACCTTGAGAGGGCGCGGTATCCGCAGGTTGTTGCCCCAAAACCGGTGCAAATTGGGAGGCTATAAAAAGAACGATTTGGAACACACCATCTTTACGTAAAGGAACCTGCGATAGCTGAGAAGAGATTATGTTTTTGAACCATGACGCAGAACTTGTTTGGACAAACGATGAGAGGAGCGTTAGCAACGAGGGTGTTGGGGATCTGGATGGAGATATTTAGCCGACGCATACATATAGAAACATAAATTAGTGCCTTACTCTTCAATGATCGTTTGAAATAGTTCCCTATATGTGGTAATTTGCTTCTGTGGCAGAGAATGTGAATGAAATGCGAGCTCCGCGGTAGCACACAATATATCAGCGAGAATTCTTCCCATAATTATCGGTTGAATACCAGAGTGTTTATCACAAACAACGGGCCTTAAAGTGTCTATTATAAAAAGTAATAGACGTTCATCGTGTGGTTTGTTGGCGGAAGTCGCTTCTGCCTGTGTTGCAACAACGCCAGTGGGGAGAACAGACAGAACCCGTTGCTGAAGCGGAATCCCAACTCCCTGGGATAGTGCAGGGTATATGCCCTCAAGGGAAATGAGATCAAGTAGGCCATGGATCACCCGTCGCCGCCTGGTATCTTCAAGAACGGGGTCTTCTCTGCGTCCATTTCTTTTGGAATTTTCGATCCCAACGTCCAGACTTGAATCAATATAGGCACGATGAATTGTCACAAGAAGATCTAGTGCCCGTTGAATCACATGAAAAGTAGTGCTGTCATCTTCTTTGCCTTGAACTGGGATTTTTCGAGCTAGAATTTGGACGAGAGAATCGCCGCGAGATTTCTGTATCTCCTCTTGAAGAGAGTTAGCTGCGTTTGGATGAGTTAGATGTTAAGGTTGCGTGCCTCTTTTTAAAACCGGGTTCAAAAACTCATGCGCGTCATCAAGTATCTTCATGAGCTGCCCCGAACTGCCCATTTTCATAGCCCTGCAGTAACAATATCTCTACAGATTACGGCGGCGTATGTTCGATGGACCATTTTGATTCTATGTATCAAATTAGAAAATGACGTATTGGCCGACATGTCACGTGAATTTAGATCGCGCTTGGGTAATAAATGTTCACGTGCCCGACGCGTCTCAAGTGGAAACCTTATTTGAGGCTGGAAATCGCGCTCGTCCATGTTGAAGGTCCAACAACGTTTCTGTTGATGTTTCGACTTGATTCCTCTTGAGTCTTTCTGCTAGAAGGATGTCGTTGCCATAAGTGTTGCGTATTTCTAATTGCTGTACTTCTTTATTTCCGAATGCTTTTGTTTTTTAACCTCGATTCGTGTCGTTCTATCAATATACTTCGATCCTGTCACGCCCGCATCAAAGCACTCCTCGTTCACCACTCTCTTGCCTGATATAGGCACCATACATACAGTTCAGCCTCCCCACAGTTCTCCAATAACCGTCTCACGCGCTCAAGGCCCCTCACTGTTCCTGTCACGTCACAGCTTATTGCCCTCACGAGACTGCATAGTGGGGTGTGGGTGGATATTGGAACTTAACCCTAAGTTACATCGTCGGTTGTCCTTTTGGACGTCAGCCTCGCGGTCAATAGTTGTCAGATGTCTGATTAACTCGTTTGAATCGTTTGACGATTCAAGTTGGGTGAAAAGATGTTTGATGTCCAGAGTGGAATAAAGATGATTTACTATGCGTTTTAAAGCGTCCAAAAGGAACACGTGTCAGTTTATCTGCTGGACTTAAAACACTTGGATCACCGAAGGGATGGTCAGTCAAATGCTCGATCCGTTCTTTGGGAAAAGGAAATGGGATATGGTTTGTGGGACATGTCGGGCATCCCTGTGTTTGGGAATTGCCTTTGGGAGCCATAGAACCTTTGGATCACGCCGTTGCATACACCTGTCGTTATACCCGCTCTCAAATTAGTAGCGGGCTTATCTTTCCGTCTGTTGGAAGAGCATTGATCTTCGAACGCAACAAATCCGTCCGAAGAAGGATGGTTGCCTACACACCGACCACCACTGATGCATTTTGCGAGTCGATTCTTGGGGATCCACTTGCCGGAATCGTTCCATGTTGTCTGTTTACTAGAGTAACATGGTTCGTAAGCAAGGTCAACAAGACGACAAGCATATGCGTGGTCGTCTTAACTGGTAGCTTTTCTAGATTGCCGTTAAGAATTCGCGCTTGTTGTCATGTTCCGGTTGCCTTCTTTGCGTCCATAGCGGTATTATAACCCCAGCCGAGACTGAGTGATGTATCGTTAGTGAAGACAAGAAATTGTCCTCAACTATTGATTCCCATTTTGGGACGTATAACGTGTTGGTGTCCGTTGCTTTCCATGGTTGGCTGTCCCGTACATATCCCGAACCTCTGACTGTGCCTCCACGGCCTGCCAGACCCCTACCATCCACCCCATTGCCCCATTGTTCAAACTACTGCTTGTTGGCCTTTCACTGCGGCACTAGCCATGAGTGTTAGCTTGTTCCCAAGCGTCCCGATCCGCCGCGTTAGTCACCTCGCTGCAAGTCTAGCCTGCAGTCCTGAGTGAGTGCCGACAACTGGCTGCCTGCGAAGTTTCTTCAAGGGTGCCCAGAACCCTACCTACCGATAGCTGGAAGGCATTCCATATAGCGAGCGGAAGGAAAAAGCGGTTTTTGAGGATGTCTTTTGTCCGCTTTCAAACGCCCTCCAGCTGCATCTAGCTTTATCTTCAGTGCAGTTGGAGAGGAAACAAAAACTAGTCTCTGAGGCTACTGTATTACAAACAAGAGAGGCTCCGTCCCGGTCTCGAAAGATTTCGGGGTTTGAAACGTCGAGTGTTGGGCTTGGATACTTGGATATTAGGACAAAAACAGACATCGAGGGAAACAAACGCAGAATGGAGGAGAGCGATTGTGAATGAACTACACGGTGGATTCGTCACTCCCTACGCAGCAGACAAGGATAGGACGGGTTTCTTCATCCTGGGATCTTCAGAGCATGCCGCAGGTATGAGAATTTTAGCTACGTTGCCGAACAGCCCAGCTGCCCCTTTCTATTCGCCTAACGCCCAAGAGGAATTTGACCATCGCGAGCGATCTACTGCAGTTACGACCTTTCATTTTACGCCTCAAAACCCCGAAACTTTTCCGTTGGTTTCGTAAATGTCCTGGCCTTGTTTCATGTGCAAAATTGCGGATGGATGGAAATTCGGTTTGGAACGTGCACCAAGTCAGGACCTCTCTCGAGTGAGGATCAAAGCTTAGGCTTGTCTGTATTTGGTGTCTGCCCATATTCTTTTCCATCTTCCATGTCCCTTTTAGGCATCATGTTACAACGCGTTGGGCTATTGGTTCCAGCGGAGGTGAACGGATGAAGTGTTTGTGTTGGTCTAGCGTTTACCGGTGTGTTTAGCTCTACGTGGATGGCTAGCAGCGGGGAGCGAGGGGGATCCCTGGGCTAAGAAGGCAAAGCGAGCGATATTCCTCTGCAGTGGTAATGCTTCCGGAAGTCCTTTTCCGTTCCCCGTTTGCAAGGGGAACGGCCATAATTTTTTTATAAGTCTCCCAATTCCCAACCAAGCTGCGATTGAGCTAACTGCCGCTTAGGTCCTCTTTTATTATCTCCAGTCCGCCTCTATGACCCTCTGAATTTTCCTTATGTATAATACTGGATGCTCAGCGTTGTACTCGATTGTTTGCTTGTTTTTTGCTTTTCGTTTTCAGTAATACTACCCGAGCACGAAGCCATGTTTCCGTTTTTCTTTTGTTGTTTATCACTATAGCCCTGCTCTATTCTACGTGTAATTCCTTTGTTGTCAGAATGCGACTCTCGTTTCCTTCGCACGTTTCCCCAACAACATACCTGCCATCTACACCGCTCACGTCGAGTTCCCACCATGTTGCTTGCCGCGACCTTGTTATATATACATGCCAAGCCGCTTCCTTCCCACAGCAGTTTCCTCAATTACTGTTTTTGCTTTCAGATGGACGAACACAAAATGACGGAAAGAATGTACCAGGTCGGCCGCTCTTATACCATGCTTGGGAATTGGAAAGGGCGATGTGATATATAGGGGCCGCCTGTCTCAGCTCGTCCGTCAATGCTCCTTCGGTTTGTTTGGCGTATCGCGATAATGTATTTTCCCGTTCTCTTTCCCCAGCTCGCTCTCGCTCGGTCCTCAGCCATACTCGGTCAACAACAAGACTTTCGTTGACTCCACTCTCTTATTTTTAGTACCCAATTCATTTAACTATATCGGTTGTATTCACTGTTCAAATAACTATTCAATTTGGTATCTGTACTCCTTCAGCTTGTGTGAAGCCCTGTTTACCAACAACAATCATCACCATGCGTTCTCGCCGCTGGGTGTGGGCTCTCCATCTCAGTCTCGTCGTTCTCGCATCCGCTGCCGCTCTTGATGACGAGTTGGCTCACGAGACGGCCAATAGAGGGATATTACCCAAATTTCCGATCGCCCTACCGCCAGCACATGTTCCACCCCCAGGGTTTGGCGGGCTCCGCAATACGCCCACACCAGGATTGAAAAAACTTGACGCTCCTGAACGGAGGTGCGGTCCACAGTACGGATCTTGTGAGGATAGTTACTGCTGCTCACCATCTGGTATGTGCGTCAGTTTTGGGATTTTAGCAGTGCTCCTGCCTTGCTTACAGTATAATATACCCAGGTTATTGTGGTATTTCGAGATACTATTGTCAGGCTCCAGATTGCTTGATCGACTATGGTAACGGCTGTGACGCGCTAAAAACGCCAGGTGGGGATAGCACATTAAACGTCGTTCGTGATCATGTTGGTCAAGTTCCGTATGCCAACGAGCCGATTTTCAACTGTAGAATCCCCAACACAGTTGCGTTGACCTACGACGATGGCCCAAATATCTATACCCGTGATCTACTCGATATGCTTGATTCGTTCGGCGCGAAGGCTACCTTTTTCCTAACCGGAATTAATTCCAATAAGGGATCGATAGACGATCGGAATTTTCCGTGGAGGGAATTAATAAACCGAATGCTGAGAAGTGGTCATCAAATTGCTAGCCACACATGGGCTCATCAAGATCTTGACGCTCTCTCTGCTAATCAACGTCTCGACCAGATGGTGAAAAATGAAATGGCTCTCCGCAATATCTTTGGTGGCTTCCCAACCTACATGAGACCTCCATACTCGAGATGCTCCGACCACTCCGGTTGCGTCCAACAGATGGATGACCTAGGATATCATGCTGCGTATTTCGATGTGGATACGGATGATTATAACAACGATACCCCTTACCTCATAAAACGCTCCAAGGACATTTTCGATGATGCTCTTGCTTCTGCTAAACCCAACGGGGAACCTTTGTTGGTTATAGCTCATGACGTTCACGAGCAAACGGTCTACAATCTTACTCCACACATGTTGCAGGGAATATATGCCGCAGGCTATAAGCCAGTTACACTAGGCGAATGCCTCGGAGATGATCCGGAGAACTGGTATCGTTGGACTTATCCAAGTGATTCCCAAGGTCGTTGGGCAAATCCATCTAGCGGAGCAATACCCAAAAACAACCAGACTAACCTGATCCGAGGTCTCCCGCGGGGTGCAGCACACCTGCCCGGGCTCTAGAGCTAGCAGCTATATATATTGAGCTTTGACTGTCGGTTCCTTGATGGCAAATGTCTGTTGCTCCAGGGGCCGAAGATTGAGTGAGAATTGGTTCTGCGGCTCGTACCGGTTTGGTATGATATGACACGGGTCAGATTTCCTGTTTGTTTTTCTGTTTTTATATGCGTGTCTCGATGTATATTCTGCGTTGTCATGTTTCTCCAGCTTGCTCCTTTGCATGTTGTCTTTATAGCTTGCTCTACGACGTTCGCGGGAACGCTTTACTTCCGCTGAGCTCTCTATTTGCGGCTATGCATGACTCTCATTATCGTTACACGAGGCGTTGCGGTCAGAATTTTTCTCGGGATCCGTGGAACCATGTATCCCTTCGCAATGTCATAGGTTTCTCTTTTAATATACCCATCTGGTTACATTAACTTCTTCGGCTCCTGGCATGTTGCTCTTCAACGGACTAAGCGAACATTATTGCAACCCCCCTGTCCTCGCGGATACTGTTGTCGTACCGTAAACTATCGATGCAGTATGTTCTGTCTGACAGAACTGGTAACGTATGCTTGCTCCATTATTCTGAGCGGTGAAACGTCTTCCAGGGCGGGTGTCATCATTACGGCTCATAGGCACCTTGTATATACCGTCATAGAGAAAAGGGATGTTATAAAAAGTAGCACATCTCCATCTCAGGCATACGGAGTATGAGAAGAGGGTTCGCAAGAGTAGTGACGTAAAGGAGCGGGAAAGCTTAATAATAAATAAATTCGCTTTAGCTATAGGGTATAATGATATGAGCAATAATACATCACGGTCATGCGTCGAAGAGTAAATCAAAGCTGAGGTTGGGAAGTAAATATAACTATCATCATGGGAAAGGGGATAAAATACGTGGCATAATCTGGTCCCAGCCCACACTAGGGAGGAGAAAAACGCTGTGCAGGACGGGGATGTGAGAGCACGCAAGTCCTGTTACTAATACTGATAACCCTTGCAGCCAGGCCGTGGCTCACTAAGATGCTACTCCCATTAATATCAGTATTATTTTTTTCTACTTCCTAACCACCTTCAACAGGGGTGCGATCTTCGCCGTACGGCTCAAGCCCACCCGATACGATACCTTCTTGTTTACCGTGATGGGACTGTGCTTGTCAGGGCCCCTCTGGGTTATCATAGGGGGCTTTGTGGGCGTTTCGACTGGTTCGGGTGCTGGGGTTGTTATTATTGAAGGTTGTGATTGCGGTTGAGGAGATTTGGAATGGGGTGCAGATGTAAGGGTGTCTGCACTAATGGGTTTCTTTTGCTCTTCTTCGTTGAATTGTGTTACCTGATCTACTTCCGCTGCGGGTCCTATATCTGTCACGGTATCCGGCTTGAAGTCCTTCTCTTCCAGGGCTTCTTTCAATGCAGGGATATTCTGATCTTGCTCTACAAGGGGTTGAATCTCTTTCTTATCATCGGTGGATGGTTCGGTTTCTGCGATGGAGATTGGCGGCTCCATAGTTAGACTCTCCGACGTCTTCTTCCGCTTTCGACCGCGCTTCTTGGGCGCGGGAGCGGGATCGGGCGCGGCAGTATCAGTGGTATGGCCCAAGGGTAATGGTTGGACCTCGTCGAGTTCCACATGGCTTTCGTCTTCTGTTTTCGCTTTAAGCGCAGTTACTTCCGGGGCACTCCCGGTGTTGTTGCTAAGCGGCTCTCTGTCGCTTTCCTCGCGGCGTCTAGCTTTTCGGCCCTTTGGCGGTTGGGTTTCCTGACTCGTATCCTTGAATATAACGTCTGCCGGCTTCTCATCTACCCATATCACGTCATCTTCAACATCTGATTCTACAGCCCTCTTCAACATCACGGACGTAGTCTTTCCCCGCTTAACCTTCCTCTTCTTCGCCACTTTGAGTTGTCGCTTAGATCCTTCAAGAGGGGTATCCTGGGTAGTGGGATTTAACATAAACTCCTCTGGGTTGTTACTTATCTCTGCAACAGTCGAGTCTCCGTCTTCGCGTGATTGACATGTTTGTGCGATTGTGGAATCTTCACGCGGGACCGCAACTTCAACGTGGGGATTCTCGCTATCACCAACCTCGTCAACCCCTAAACCGGTATCAATTACGATGGCCTTACTCCGCGACCTACTCGGCCGTGGCTTGTAGCGTTCTTTCGGCATGCCGCCGAAATCTGCATTGATACAGTCCAGCTCATCCCGATCACTCTCCATCCCAGTACTCTCTGCAGCTGAGGGCTCATTCTTTGATATTGCTGTCGGTCTCATATTGGTTATCGCAACTTGAACCACAGGCGGTAGCGAAAGCTCATCGCGCGTGCTCTCTGTTGAGGATGGTGGCGGATGGCTTATAAAGGGCGATGACATTGTCCTATGTGCTCGCGCGAGGGTGATAGAGGACATTGGCTCAGTATCGTAAGCAGTATCGTCGAATCCTTGTGTAGACTTTGACCGTCCTGTCGGTTGTTTTCTGGAGCGAGCATCTGACCCGGGTGTGAGCGGAGGCTCCCATACAGTTTCAGCTGCAGAGGGATGATCGCTCGGAGTATTCGGGGCTTCACTAGCCAAATCTTCTCCGAAAGTACCATCTCCACCGTCTTTTTCAGGGGATAGAGACGCGTCCGTATCAATCATACGATCAGTCGATAATTCTTCCCTAACACCACAGCCATCCTCATCTTGCTCCGGCGAACCAGCAGCAAAACCAACACGTTTGCCGACAGCATCTTGAAATGCTCCAGACGCATCCATCGTCCGCCTCCTCTTAACATTCCTTTCCCCTCCACTCACATTTTCCACCTCATTTTTCCTAACATCTATCGTCCTCCCCCTTTTCAAAATACTTCTTCTAGGGGCCTGCATCAAGCTGGAATATGCACCATCCCCATCTTCTTCCCCAAGCCACGCCCTCTCCCTCTGTTGCTGGGACAGTGAAACGGACCCTGTCTCCGCCTGATCCTGCGATTGTGACGCGAGGAATTGATCGAAATTGACGCTGAGGTTGGGATCGAAGCTTGGGGGGCCATGATTATTCGAGTTACTCTCAGCGCCATTCCCGTTTCCAATGGTGGTTTCTCCCACCACCTGATTATTATAATTGCTATTATTATTACTGGCATGTTGTTCGTACTGATCGATGGGCGGAAAACCCCGTAATGTAATGGCAGGATTGGCCGTGGTAGTGTTGTTTTGAAGTGGGTCGATGGAGGTAGCGATGTCGCTGAGTTCAGCGTCCGAGTCGTCTGAGTCTTGGATTACGAGGCTGAATGGCATCTTGCTGGACCGCGTCAATTGGATGGCCACGGTGCATGTGTATTAAGATCCGCCGGGGGCAGGTTATGTGACTCTCAGTGGGCCTGGAATGCTAATGGTGGATAATGACGTTGGTGTTTGCCGTTTTCTGATGGTTCGTTGCTGATATACACTCCAGACGCGACGGAGACGCCAAAGTCACGTGTTGATAAGAGTAACCCGACTTACGTAGCCGCGACGAACGGATGCATGGACATCAAAGAGTATGGACGCTTCTTAAAACGCATATAAGAGGTCATTTCACATATCGAGTTAAATATATGGCTATACATAGACATGGTATCCCACAATCAAAAAATGTGCAGAAAACAACAGACATCAATACATGCTACTCCGCATTATTCCCCCTCATTACACCTCTCCCAAAAAACTCACTGACAGTCCCAAACCGGTCCCGACTCCGCTGCAACTCACTCTTAAACAGATCATGCTGGTCAGCAGACTTAATCTGCCTTTCACGGATGGCTCGAATAGTCGCATTCTGCGGCGCACACACGGGACACTCGGCGTCCTCGTCAACCCTGTTAAGACACCGTTGGTGGAACGAGTGTTTGCAGAGGAAATGCAGGGTGGGGAGGTCTAGTCTATCGTGACATGAAGCGCAGCTGCGCGCTTGGAAGACGAAGGGTTTGGTGCCTAGTTCGTCGATTTCTTTTTGCTTTGCTTCGGTGTCGGCGGCGTAGCTGGATATTAGGTGGCGGTTCTGTACGTTGCGTGGGCTTGCTGTTAGTTGCGGAAAACCAAGGGGGGAAAAGTGGAAGATACGATACGCACATTTGCAATCTCCTTCCGCTCCCTCTCGATATTATCGCTGAGATACTTCTTTATCATCCCCATTGTCACCACCGCATTGTTGCTCAGTGCCTGAATCACCTGCAGCGGCGCCATGAGCCCGTCTTTATCGATCTTTCTAAGAACCTCATACAGTTCGTCACCGGCTTCTTCGAGTATCTTCGGACTAGACGAGAAGTACGTGAGTGCGTCGATGTATAATTGTGGTTCTTGCGGGCCATATTTCCTTAGCGCCTTGATGACGCCAGCGGTGTCTTTGGCAGAGGTATAGGAGCGGAATATATCCGAGCATAAGCCTTGTTGTTCTTGGACTAATGTTGTCCCCTCCCGGAAATTCGAGAGGTCGGAGAGTAATAAGACATTCGAAGTCGATACGGGAATCTGTGTTAGTGCCATATGTCATTAGCTACAAAAAGTCCAAAATAACACAAACCAGACATTCCAAATGATGTATACATACATCCTTCCCCTTAATGAGCTTCTTCGCCTTCCCTTCCCACTCCACCCTCTCACCATCCCCCTTCGCACGCTTCGCCGTATCCAGATACATCTCAAACAAAGTCGTATACAGATCCACCCGATCCTCCTCCCTCAGATCATCCTGCTTGATCAACGCTTCGAGAAATTCTATGAACTTCTGCGGCTGATCGACGAATGCTGAAAACGCACTGCGCGGTTTCGGTATGTCATATTCAGTCGGTGATTCGAGCTCTGGGGCTAATTGAGGCTCGGCAGCCGGCGCTTTTGGCCCCTGGGCCCCTGGTAATGGAATGAAGGAGGTAAGGTTCTGGATGGCGCCTCCTGCCTGTGGTTGGGGTTTTTGTGCAGGTCGCTCGTCCGTTTCGCGCCGGGGTCGGAAGTGGCCCGTATAATACTCGATAAAAAGCTTTGTGGTCTCCTGCGGGCAATGGCCTAGAAGGACACGGGCGTATTTCATGAGGTTTGGATATGCCTATTTAAAGGCCGCTTATTAGCATGTAGATCGACATTGGAGTGCATGTAAACTTACCGTATCGGGCTCCAGACTCCATATGTACTTCAGTGCCTCTTCATATTTCCGAGAGTCTTCAATCAAAATATCGATCACCATGTCATTCTCGTTATGTTTTGTTGCTAAGTATGCAGCTTGTTCGTAATAGCCGCCCTGTCGGCACATCGCGATCGCAGTCTCGAGGTCAAATTTCAGTTCACCGGGAGCTTTGATGAACGAATCGAGCTTGGTAGTGTCCTTCAATTTCGCATAACAGTTTAAGAGCAATGTTGTATGATCGGCTGTCGCCTTTTCATGGTCATGGAGTTCTTCGAGATATTCTATGAGGTTGTGAATTCGTTGGGTATCTAGGAACTATATGGTGCACGTGTTGTTTTAGTAAATTAAATATGGTACGATCAGCAGCGAAAGCAAAAGCCCATACCTTTCGAATAACCTGGGACGGCTCTGTGTTGTCAATTGCACGCAGATATTGTTGCATTGCAGTATCATAATCCCCTTTCTGATATAGGTAGTCGCCGTATTTGCGGAAGATGATATTTTGCTGCAGTGTATCAATCCCAGCTTTCTGAGCAAGATTGATAGCTAGGATGTAAAGGTTTCGCTGGTACAATAACTCCAGCTTCTGTTGGAGGGTCTTTTCACGGTATCGGTAAACCTATATTCAATGGTGTTTCTTTCAGCTTTGGAGTCCTCTCCCATACAAAACTCATAGGAAGGATTATTTATACATACGGTCCCATCCACAGTAACAATAAACAAATCACCCCATTCCACAAATACATATTTCACCCTCGACGCCAACGACTCAGAGTGAGCAACAAATTTCAAATCTGGCTCCAATATCGTAAACGTCGACGTCGTCAAGATATCCTCGCTCTGGTCACCTGCTCCAAACCGTCGGAAAGTATCAGAAGACTTCGGCAGCGCAGGCCTAGGCAGACAAACGAGCGCTATATAATCCCTGAACGCATTTACGGACGTCTTCGGACTCTCAAAGGCAAGACTAGGCCCTCGACCACCGGACGGGCCGTACGTGTAAATCGCATCTTCGCGTGCGATGATAATATCGCCAGTGCCGTGATCAATGGTCATACAACCCACGCCACAACCTATGTCCTCGAGCGTGCGGGCGGGCTGGCCCTGCCCCTTACCCGCGACGACGAGGGTGAGTATCCGGCCCGTCGTGGCGATGTATAGGGTCGTGGCGGGCCCGTGCTGGATTTCCAGGCCGGTGATTGGTTCTTCGGATTCAAAGACGGTGCGTTGTTTTGCGCCTCGGTCGTGGATTAGGTCGCCACGGATCACGGTGACGGAGCCATTGGCGAAGCCGACGGCGAGCTGGGATAAATCTGGTAGGACGACAAAGGCGGATACCTGGGAAGAGTAAATAGCGTTAAGCATGAAATGATGTGAAACGAAGAGAATTAAGTCAACCATACAGGAAACTGCCTCCGGCCATTCTGCACTTGGACCGTCGACAAACATCTAGGCGATCCCGTTTTCTTGTCTTCCTTATCCAACGCCCACACCTTTAGGACGGGGTCGTTTAGCAGGTCCTCTGAGATGGTGACGATCAGCGATGTTGCGTCGACCTGTCTCATGTGCATAATGGAGCCTGTGTCGTGTGCTTTGAAGGTGCGCAGGACCTTGAAGGTCTGCGACAGGATATGGACGGTGCCATCGGATGTGCCGAGGAAGAGGTTCTCGGAGCCAGTGCAGATGCTGCTTATATCACTCTGTAGCGGTCAAATCAGATTGTTTGTTAGTACATCAGATATATGTATATGTAATGTGTATGTGGGACACGGGCGCATCACGTACATTGAAGATGGAGCTATCGCCATCCGGCAATGAGACAGGGGAGACGTCGAAGAAGTTGAATGTTTTCCACTTTTGAGTGCTTCAAGTTAGCTAGAATAGCCAAGGAGAAAATGGACCGCTTACCGAAGTCAAAGCCATTTCCTAGCACCAGCGCCATGGGGCGGAGGAGGTTTTCGATGGAAGACAGATGTTGAGATGGCGAATGACGCGGATGCAGCAGCTGGCGATGATGACGATGTGGTCCCGCGCTGGTCCAGGCCAGGCAGCTTAAATAATCTAACCACAGCGGGCCAAGGTGTGGCTAGTGGCTCAACCACTGTTTGTGACAATATCAAAAAGGACAGTGTCCAGTTAATCACTTCAAAGGCATTGAAAGAACTCTATGTTGGGATGATGTTGAAGAAGCAATTGTTTAAATATATGTAACTAAGGATGAAAAAAGTAAAAAAAAGATCTGATAAATCCGTGCAAGGAGACCAACGCTCCCCAAATCTTTCTTCCCTGGAACTCTTCAATATTGACTTATTAATTGGTATATGCTACGCTATGCAATCTTATGCGTTAATATGTAGACTCTATACAGCACGTGTGCTCAACGCTCTATCGCCAATAAAACAAACTCAACTCAACAGAAAACTTGGAAATAGATATAGAGCTCCTCCAACGACTAAATGTTAAGCAAAAGAGTAAAGGAAACGGGGAAATTCCCACCCTTGTCACAGTCGAGGCATATTCGACCTCAGCATCGACTGCGATTTTGGGCCTAGCGAAGGAGACCGCAGCGGTATCCCACTCCTAGCCATTCCTAGCACCGGCGCCATGGCTATTTTCATTGGTGTTACGGCTATTCCTATTCCCCATGTTGGTGATGCTGTTAAGGCGTTTCACGCTATTACTGTGGTTAATCCTCTCAAGATCCACCTTCTCAAAATCCCAGCTCCCCAAAAACGTTCCTGCGTCCGCAATCGCCTGGCTGAGGTCGAAATTATCCCAGCCCGGTGCGTGGCCCTGGCCCTCTTGGTACTGCCGTGTGTCGTTTGTGGAAGCGGTTAGGTTGAAGGGGAGGATCGTGGAATCCGCGTCATGGCTCTGTGCTTCGCCAGGTGGCGCGACCGGGATGTTGGTGCTGGATGTGTTGGAAGGGCGGTTTGGAAGGGAGGGTGGAGGTAAAGCGGTACATTTGTGAGCATTGGTAGAGGTAGACCCGTTGGCGAAGCTATTTTCGCGATGACGTCGACTAGATGTAGATTTTTGCGAGAGTGAGAATGATGGTGCCTGGTTTCGAGGGCGCGAGGAGAATAATGAAGAATCATTCTGGATGTCTGAATTTCTAGCTCGGATTCGTCCTTCCTTTTGTTCGTCCTTTCCTTTACCAGGCGGAACTATTGCTTCCGCTTCTGCTTCAGATCTTCTCCCGGGCTTTATCCTTTTAACCATGCTAAAATCGAATGGCGTGATGGCATCTTGGCCGTGGTTGTTCGCCTGCCGACTCGAAATGCTGGTGTCGGATAGATGTGAGGGCTTGGCTGGTTCGCCAGTTACAACTACCTTCGAGGAGTTATTAGTTTGTGCCTTTTTCGTAACCTGTATTGCCAGAGTCGATACCTGCTCCTCATATCCGCCGTTCTGACTACGTCTAGCACTACTAGGGTAGCCTGCCGAAAAATACGTGGAATGGAGAGACATAGTCGGGATTGGGAACTTGAAATAGTCTGGGACTATTTGAGCGGAGGGTAGGCCTTCTGACGCTGTCATGTTGCTCAGAGTTTGCAGGTTGTCTTGCAAGCCATGCGTTCCATTAGGGGTTGGATCTAGCGGCAAAGTGTGGGAGCTATTATTATTGTTGTTTGGATTCTCATCTTTGCTTTCCGGTTGAGCTTTATCTCGAGATACCTGAGATCGATGACGTTTGGAATGTTCGACATTGCCATTGGAGTTTGAAATTGTATCCACGCTAGATGCCGGTTTGCCAGGGTGCGGATATTCGGACTCTAGGAAATGGTCTGTAGTAGAAGGTACAACTTGAAGGGATCCTGAGGGTTGCATAATCGTAGATGACTTATAGCTCCTCTTCACATGAACCACTTCCTTTTCATTACGGTTGGGAATTCCTGTGAACGCAGAAGCTGGTTTCCCGGGTTTCGAGAAGCGCGAGCGGCCACCCGGCGACTTTGAGCTCTTCCTAGATTGGTGAGGGTCTTCGCGGCGAGGTTCTCTAATAGTTTTATGTGACGAGGGGGACAACGCTCCATGTCCGTTGATAGGCGTAAACGAAATGCGAGGAGGTGTGTAGTTCTTGTTGTTATCACCAATAAAATCATCCACCCTCGGCCTTTTGCTATTGTGTTGCAATCCTCCATCCTGCTGAAGTTTCGCAGGAGAGCGCAAGCGATAGCCAGGGGTTGGACTGGAGCCGGTTGGACGTTCATAAGCTTGTGGGTGTAGTCTCTTCTCGTCCGTCTTCAACCAACTATTATTGCTGTCAACTGAAAATCGATGTGATGTGGACGCGGATACAGACCGAGGAGCTTGTTCGGCTGTTGTTGAATTAACTCGGGCGGATACTGCTCGTGGTTTTGAGAATATACTATTTGAAGGGGTTTTTCGTGCGCTAAAGATATCCGTTTCGAGTTGTCCTCTGCCCCTACTACCCGACTTCCTTTGCCGCTGATCGGATCGCTGTGCTTGCACAGGCTCTAGGTCGAGAGAAGATTCAAAGCCGCTCCCCTGACGAAGAACTTGGGGAGAAGGCTTCATGCGGCGTTCGAGGGGTTTTGACGTAGCCTCGGATGAGACCATTCCAGAATTCGATATGCCATTTCTGAAGTCCTTTTGCCTACCTTGCTTCCATAACGATGCTCCTCGTTGTGGTTTCTTGTCCTTTCCCCTATTCCTCTTCCAAGGGTTCATCCATCCGTTATCCAAGGGGCCTTTTAAACCAGCGGATAAGATAAACAAAGGCTTTCCCTCCAGGTAGTCCTGGCCAAGCCTTTCAATTTTCCTTCGTTTTGCAGCTCGAGCAGCATCATCCAACCCATCATCGCTATCAGAGAACTCACTCAGCAGCTCTGAGGGTAGCGCAGGCAGGGTTTCGAAGTGCAGGGGAGTGGTATGGCGCTTGAAAACCATGGCCTCCAGGAAGGGGACGAGCCACGGGAGAGGAGAGAGACACAACGACAGGACGTCGAGGACGGCATTTGGAGTTACCTAGATAGCTTTATAGTTTTGCTTGCTTGTGCTGGTGTGTTGAAGCCTGCTCTTCAGGGGAGCTGTGGCCTTGGTGGTGGCTGAGCGGAACAGTGAAACTATTGATTCACTGACAAGTGACAAGCAAGCGACGGCCAGAGCTCCAAGTCACAAGATCTCGTGTCCCACTTAACGCGTTAAGCGTGGAAGCAGGAGAGCGGCGGCTGGTTGCCAGGCCAACGAACCAGTCACGTGTGTCTGCCTGTTCCAACCTTGGTTGAACGGCGCCAGGATAAGAGCGCTTATCCGGGCCGATCGGGATGCAGACTGAAGCAGAACTTAATTCCGGTACATGCAAACGATGTGATTGTAATCCTATAATTGTGGTGTAATATTTTCGTATGAAGTAGCATTTAGTTAACAGGGCTTGTTTGATATACACTGATAATACTCTCAGCTAAACAACTCTCATTACCGTACCTTATCTCACTTATCTTGATCTCTCGCGACAATACTTCGTAACGGCCACCAGTGTCATCAATCGGGGATCTTTTTCTTTACATAGTACGTTACTCCGTATAGCCGCCGACAGATACCACACCCACCCCTTCCACAGGGCTGAAAGGGGCCCGGCACATCTGTTGTTCCGGGCCGCTGATTGCCGCATTAGGCAGGATGTTGTTGTTTTCTTGGCGCCGCTAGCCCCTAACCAACCCACACCAAAGCATCATCGATATCAAACTCTCCGCACACACACTTCGACGCTCCAACAACTTCAACAACATCTCTTATCCTCAATTTCGCCTTATTGACTGAATGGTGCATTCTTAGTACATAGATCTTCGCCCCCCAAACGTATATTTATTAACAAACCATTATGTTAATATATCCTTCCCCCACAATCCCTACCCTTCCCAGATCGCATACTTCTCTACCACCTTCACAATAGAGCGCTTCTTGTCAACAATCTACCTCCAACTAAACACGCCGGATCCGGATCAAGCTCAATATGAGTAAACAACAGCCTTGGTTAGATGGCCTGTCCGAGGACTGGGTTTCCCAAACCTCCTCCCTGCGCGACCGCATCTCCAACTCCTTCAAACGCTCGTCGCGCGGCCTGTCTGCCTCTCCACCCACCAGTGTTTCGTCGTCACATAACAAACCTTCCTTCTTCTTCAGACATTTGCGCAAGACGTCGGAGCCTTCCCGACTATCAGACCTCGAAGGCAATAGCAATGTCTCGTCTAATCACACGTTTTCCATGATCAATGTTTTCACCTCGAGCGTTGGTCCCAAAGGCAAGCTGACTCGTACCACAGGAAACCAAATTTTGACTTAGGCATGTAACTAACGATGTTTTTTTTTTTTTTTTTTTTGGAACATTACTACAGTGTCCGTACAAGTGCAATCAGAAAATACACCCGTCGAAAGTTCTACCATGCATATAAGACCGCAGAGTAAACATGCCAAAGAAGACAACACTCCGGAATGGAAAAAACGTCTTGCTCGCGGTGAAGCTCCGATGGGAGAAGGGGGCGATTTGTTCGGCCCCATGGAACTGGAGAATGTGTTTAGACCGCCACCCACCAATACCGAATCGAACGCACGGTCAAATCTTTTTACCTCCGTGCACACACAAGCTAATCGACCATGGTCTCTGCCACGTTCTAGCTCGTCCAGAGGCGAGCAGCCAGATATCTTACCGAATGACTTGGATGACGCCCGAGCTAGAATCGAAAATTCTGCCAGTGATAGCCAGGATAGCATAGAGAAATATAGCACATCGTTGGACGACGCCAAATGCTGGCTGGGCGGCGATGCTCCCGCGAATGGCACCGTTAGCTTTGACCCCAGATCACGGACTGTGAGCGGTAGGGAAGAACTGCGCAATGAGGAAATTACTCCGATCCTCTTCTCCAGGGACGATAACGACACCGCTGGCGAATACACGA